GGGGTGGCGGGGCCGCCCGGCAGCGTCCGCTTTCCGCACCCCCCGTGAGGCGATGCCGCCGCCGACCGGGATCTCCCGCCCGCCCGTCAAGTCGTGCCCCCCGCAGCCGGGCAGGGCCGCGGTGACGAGTGAAATACACGAGTAATAAATATAAAACTGTGGTGAAGGGACCTCGGGGCAGGTGTTGGAGGGTGTCACAGCAGGCCGGTATTCTGTGTCATGCCGCTGTTGCCCTTCTCACACCGCCCTGTCACCTCACGGTGACCCACGCCAGGGCTTAATGCCACACACTTAACGAGGAAAACGCAGAAATAAAGTGAAAAGGCTCAGACCCGTCTCTGTTTCACTGGCAAAACCAGAGCAGAGCCAGGGCCCCTGTGATGGCGGGTCTTTACCCTTCCTCTGGACAGGCCTTGGGAGGGCTGAGGTAACGCCTGCCATCAGGGCCTCTGTGTGGCAGCCCGGGCCTGCTGGAGCTTTGCTGCAATAAAATAAAATAAAAATACCGTCTTCAGAAAGGTGTGCTACGTTGAACTGGTTGCAATACAACATCTAGATGACACATAACACATTGTTTGTCTGTAGGGTACTGACTGCTATGGTACGCAGTGGCACGGGCACCCTTCAAACCATCAGCTGCCAGAGGAATTAAGTTGCTATCAGACCACTCTTAGTTTTGCGTCCAGGGAAGAGTTGCCCTCTCAGCTTCGGGATCAAAGGAGCTTGAATAGCGTTACAGAGCACTGGAAACAACCCTTCAGAGCCATTATCAGGGCAGGGGGAAGGCTGTGGTGGCTTTTCCCAGCGCTGGCGCTGCCGGAGGGGCTCCTGCAGGCTGGAGCTGTGCTAAAGACCTCCGTAAGCCGCATAAAAGCAAGGGCATAATAGGTACTGCGGCGTTAATCTAACACACATTGAAAAACTCTTTCCCTTTTTGAAGGAGCTGGCAGACCTGGAGTTTATTACTTTTCATTAAGAAATTGCTTTGTCTCCTTAGCAAGTTAAATACGAGAGCTGGTTTTCCAAAAAGTCCGCTCCTCGCTGTGCTTACTTCCCAGCCGCTCCCACTGGTCTGCGTGAGTAAGCGGCTCGCGGCCCTTCAACAAAGACCCCCAAACACTCATGCATCTTTTTCCTTTTCCGTGCCAAGAAATAACATAATGATAGTAATTGCCGCAGCTCCAGAACGAGCAGCCATACGCCCAGCGGCAGTCCCCAACTGGAAGTAATTGGCACGGCTCTTTTGTGGAGCTGTGCCGACTTGGAACGTGGAAGGATCTGCTCCCTTGAGCCTGCAGAGAGAGACGAAGCAGAGGGGAATAGAAATGTAGGAAGTCCAGTATACAAACGAGCTCATACCTTTTTTTTTAAAAAAAAAAATTCCATTGAGCTATAAAGGCCTGATTTTCAGTAGCTTCAAACCCACTGAAACAGCCTTCTGCCAGGATTATTGTGCAAAAAGCTAATGCAACATCAGAGACATCAATTTTTACTGCCCGTACTGTCCTGTGCTATTTGAAGCTGAACTAATTCAGATAAGTATTTTGACCCATGACAGTTATGAAAATAGGCACAAAAGTACTATTAAAAAAATGTATTCCTGTTTTTATAAGCTAGTAAAAGGACCACATAGCGAAGAAGAAGCAAGCACATTTTCCTACTTCTAAGAAGGGCGGCATACATCTGGTGCCTAGGGTTTGCAACTGAAAGTATTTCAATTTAATTCGTAGATTCAGAAGGCAGTCGGAGACATAACCACAGCTGGGAAAGGCATGTTTAAACTGGCAGGGAGGGATGCGGTGCCACACGTAATGAGACAATACACATAAACCCTACAACCGTTTGTTGCCAAAGGGATAAACCAGGGTAGGGGGCAATGAAACAGAAAACGGGGTGAAGATGGTCTGTCTCCCAACACACAAGATTTGTGGGACGTGCAACGCACAAAATTTTGCAAAAAAAAAAAATCCGAGGGATGCAACTGCTGTTTTACAAGACTTCACAAATTTCTGGGGCAGATGGGCCTTGACGAAGGGCCGTGCACGCTCAATGCCTTTATTTTGAAAGTGCAGGATTTTTGTTTGCATCACCTTTCACAATATTTCCAGTTCGTCCTTTGAGGCTGGTAATGCCCTTTTATTCACAAATATATTTCTTCCATCGGAAGAATCTTGAGTTGTCAGGAAGGGGAAAAAGTCAGCAGCACATCTCCGTGCAGTGACACGGGCAGGCACCAGCACACCACTAGGAATGGCAGATGGAAACAACCCAAATGCTGACATTTGTTCATGCATGATTAGTAAATGCTTACAAGGAATAGATAGACTCGCAGGGACTGGCATTTGGGAGTGATGCACAAATGAAAAAAAAAATAAAAAGGGCCGAATTCGCTGGCTAGTGTTTGCATGACAAATAATTGCGTGTACCTCACATGTTCCTCTGCAGGCAGAAGTAAAAATACAGCCATAGCCAAGATCAGCCCTGCTTTCATTCAGTGATGTTAGGGGTGGTTTTGGCCCATTATGGGGTTTTGCCTGGCCCTCAAATGCTTTTCTAGTGTTTGCAGTCAGAGAGTATCAAAGATCCCTTGCTGCGAAGTGGCATTTCAGGAGCTGAAGTGACCCGTGTCCTTCAGAAAGTGTAGGCTGAGTTTCCTGTTTGGTTGGTGACACACTCTCATCGCTCAGCTCTGCTCTGTCTCGGACGTTGAAGTACTGGTTCTTTCTCTTCATGCCCTTTGAGGATCTCCTACGCTTCCCAGTACAAAATATTCGGACCATTTGCCAGGTGTGTGCTTTGTGAGGTGGCCCCTGAGTGGGCACAAGGGGAAGCACGGGATGGCTGAAACATCCAAAGGAGAAGCAAAGGCTGGAGACAACCCATTTCCTCTCCATGGGAGTAGGAGAGAGATAAACGGTTGGGTGCTTTCCAACACAACAGGTTTTCAGCAAAACATTTCGGTTTCAACAGAAAGACCTGATTCATTGAAATGGAAATGTTTTACAAAGAAGCATCTTTTTTTCCACAACCTTTTAGCAGAACTCAGGCAAGATGCCAGTGAGATCCACCTGTTCCTCTGCCAACTCAGTTGGAGAGCCCACCACACGTCCCACGTGAATCATCCCAATCGGAGACGGCGTGACTTCTGGGCTTCCCAGCCAGCTAACTCCCATCAGGGAAGGTGGAAGCTCATGTCTGCCCACAAGTCTGCCCACGACTGTCTAAAACTGCTCAGCCCCAGGGCTCCTAAGGGTGACCCCATTCTCCTCCGACCCCCGCTGCTGGCAGCCACCCCTTTCCCTTGAAGTGGGACTAAGGTGTAAATTTGGGGAATTTTGTCCTAAAGAATTCAGATGGTTCAGATGCCATTGCTGACAAACTAGTCCAATTACGTTTATTATTCTTGCTGGGAATAGGGAATTATGTCAAACTTGAGCTTGTTTTACTCTGTCTTTCCGTCCCTGGATCATACGCCTTCACCTGTGAGAGAGAAAAGCTCCCTCTTCCCCAGGAGCACACGTGCAAGCTGCACTCAGACTCTCCTGAGCTCAGTCCACATTATTTCCCCCATGACTAACAGTAGGTGAACTAATCTGTAGCTCTCACTTGCCCTCTGGCTGTCCTCCAAGCCCCATTTTTTTTAAAGAGTTTATAAACATTGAGAGAAGTGGTGCAAAGAACTCCTCAGCTAATTCATCTGAGGCACTTCCATATGTGTTTCCCAGCTGTTGTTTTGTCTTGGCAGATACTCAAATCCATCTTTCTCTTTGGCAAATGGTAAACTCTTGGTTGAAGGTACATGGTCAGATGGGATGTGTCCTGCTTGGCCGTTCCTAGTACAGAGGAGGAGGTACTCAGCAGTTCTGTCTTACCTCCATCATTACACTTGCATTTGGGGTTCCTTGTCATCACTGGCTGGTGCCATACAACATCTGTGCCAGGGAACATGGACACTGGTGCCTAGGCAACAGCTTGTTATTTAGGTTAGTGATTAACTCTTCCTTGTCTGCCTGAACAAGCTGAATATTAAATTACCTCTTGCCATGGAACAGGACCTTTGGGTGGAAAGATATGATTAACCTCTATTTTAGAAACATGACAGCTATTTTAGTGACATCCTGAGTGAGGTTATCTGTGCCTATGCAGTGTGCACAAACACTAGAAGAGAGACAGGAGAGACTAGAGGCAAGAGAAAAATTCAGCAGATGAAGAGAATTAACTTAGTGACCACACAAATTTTACTACGGTTTCCATTTCTTCTCTCCATAAAGTTGGTGTTAGTTACTCAATCTTTAAACTTCCATTAAACTCTTACAAGATATAACAGTAGCAAGATCTTCCTCAAGATACAGCAGGGACAAAAACTGAGGGTAGGAGATAGGCTCTATCTTTGTCATGTCTGACCTGGAAATCATTTTAAGATGAGCTGGAGGCAGGTACCAGACGCAGGATTTTATCCAGTTGCTATTCAAACAGGCAAAAAGAAACAAGTGTGCCCTGGTAAAGAAGGCTCGGAGGAGGAGGCGGTACGTGACGTTGAATTCGGGAGGTGGCTTGTGTACCCGTGTCACGGTGTGACCTATAAAACTGTCAAACCCTGGGCTGAGAGGAGCGGTGCTGGCGGAGGAACCAGGGCTGCAGCTCCCTCCAGCGCTGCCGCTGCCGTGTTTCCAGCCGGGAGGGAGCTGGTCTGGGCAGAACCAGCATCTCACACCGTTCCCAGTGCTCAGAAAGGATTTGTCAGCTCACAGATGTGATACGTGGCAGAAATTCTCAGATTTTTGAGCTTTATGCATAATGAATGTGGGATCAGGTCACATCTGCAATACTTCACGAGTATCCTGGAAACCAATAGGACAAATGGCATGGATTAACTTTATCCTGTACGTTAGTTTTTGCAGAGCTGGGTGGTTGAAGGCTGCTGGGAATGTCACACCTTTAATGCAGTATGTGGTATTCCCTTTGGAATGTCTACAGGGGCTGGGTGCAGTGTTTGCTCCTTCCCACACCTCGCCCAGCTAATTCTCATTGTGTTTATTTCTTGGAAAGATAATAGCTGTCTTTTATAAATTGGAGAGACCTCCTCTGCCTCCCATAAACACCATCAGTTCCAAACCCAGCGCTGGGTTCTTTCACAGAAATACTCATGTTCACCCCAAACTGGTTCATTCCTAAACATTGTCTCTTCTAGTAAAAGCTCCTTTTCCAACAAAAAACCTCCTCTTGGTGTGTGTGTAACTGATGGAATGATGCAAATGCAACTAATGTAATGGTGACTGAATTTACTTAATATACGAACAAATAATGCTGTTTTCCTTCTGTTGTCTTCAGAGGAAACGTTCACCAAGTGGTTAATAATTGCATTTTCTGCCCTTGTCCCCCCAGAATCTCTGTATAAAAACCCCACCACGATGTTTAACTCCAACAGTGCAAACTTTCTAAAAGCAAAGCATCGGTCTACATTACAGGGTTGATGTCTCTCACTTCTTCCTGAATAATTCTCTTGTAAGAAATATTTCCCCTTTGCCCTTTTCCTGCACTTATTCTCCTTAAAAAAATAAATATTTCAACACTTTTTCCCAAAGATCTTCCCCCCTGCATCATCTCCCCCCGAGGAGCTGAGCTGGTGGCGGGGGAACAAGGGAACCGCTTGCCCTTACAGTGCCGTCTCCCTCCTTTTCAGCTGAAATGGCAGGATTTACTGCCACTGAGTACCGAGGTGTGCGGTGTGCCGGGGAGCACTGCAGGAGGACAGGCTCCTGCCAAGGGATAACGTCATCTGCATTCAGCCCAGGAGCTCTATTTATAATAACCTCTCAGGTGACCCAGTCCTAGCCTCGGGAAAGCACTTCTAAAGAAGGAGATTACTTTCAGTCTTTCCCGAGTATGAAGTCGTGTGCTATATAAATACTGCAGCTTAACTACTCTCCATGCTGAATGCCGGTTCGGATAAAGGAAGTGTTTATCCACTCCTGATTTTTAGCAGTTTTTATGCAGGAGTTTTCAAATTTGCATCAAGCTGAAACTTGGCATGTAAGCTGTCAGCACAGATGCCAGTTTTATTCCAAAAATAAAGTACGTTAAAGCTTTTAAAGGTGTCAAATGGCTTATTTATGCAGGGGTTGCAGATGCTTTAGTTTTCTGGGTCTTTCAACTCTGCAAAAGCTTTCTGTGTCACCTCCCCCCCTCCTTACAGCAAGGAACGGGAAGACAAGTCATCACACTGGAGTGATTATCCAAGGGCAGCGTGCCCTGGAAACAGGCACAAGTAACGGTCATTTTCGGTGAAACACAACCATCCTCACAGAACCACCACAGAGAATAAAAATTGAGACAGTACCTGAAGTGAACACCTTGCCCGAAGCGATGGCAGTGACCAGGAGCTCTATTTATAATAACCTCTCAGGTGACCCAGTCCTAGCCTCGGGAAAGCACTTCTAAAGAAGGAGATTACTTTCAGTCTTTCCCGAGTATGAAGTCGTGTGCTATATAAATACTGCAGCTTAACTACTCTCCATGCTGAATGCCGGGTAGGATCAGGAAGTGTTTATCCACTCCTGATTTTTAGCAGTTTTTATGCAGGAGTTTTCAAATTTGCATCAAGCTGAAACTTGGCATGTAAGCTGTCAGCACAGATGCCAGTTTTATTCCAAAAATAAAGTACGTTAAAGCTTTTAAAGGTGTCAAATGGCTTATTTATGCAGGGGTTGCAGATGCTTTAGTTTTCTGGGTCTTTCAACTCTGCAAAAGCTTTCTGTGTCACCTCCCTCCCTCCTTACAGCAAGGAGCGGGAAGACAAGTCATCACACTGGAGTGATTATCCAAGGGCAGCGTGCCCTGGAAACAGGCACAAGTAACGGTCATTTTCGGTGAAACACAACCATCCTCACAGAACCACCACAGAGAATAATAATTGAGACAGTACCTGAAGTGAACACGTTGCCCAAAGCGATGGCAGTGAAAGGGAAGACAAACTCCTCAGCCCAGTGGAGGGTCCCAAACGCTCCCATTTAGACAAGGAAGAACCTCTTCCAGGGACTAGTGACCTCCCCCCCTGCACCAATCACTGCAGAGGACAGCCCTACATCCACCAGGATATTTATTTATTCTGTGTATTAAAGTCTAAGGCATCATAATTCAGAAAACTAGTAATAGTACAGATCATTTATGGCCATATACATATACAGTGCTGTTTGAATGGTAAGAACCTGCCCCTCATGGAATAAAGCAACCCAACCACACAGCCACAGCTGAAACCAATTGCTCCGTTTTGCAGAAGCAAAGAAACAGCCTCTGCCATATCCTGAGTGCTGGCAGACTGAAAAACAAACCCTGGACATTTAAAGTATAGCACCTTTCTTGCAGAAACAGCGGCAGGAGATGGCAGATGAATGGAAACCTGACCTGGTACAAAGTTGAATCTTTTATAATAATTTCAAAATGTGAAATTCATTTTACAAATAAAAGAAATTTAGAAAACCCAAACCCACAAGGGATTCTTCTTTATCAATCTTTGCTTTTGAAGACATATGAAATTTAGGCATTGCATTTTTTCCTAATGTGGATAAAAATGAGACAACCCAGAAAGACACAGGCAGAGGAATCTCAAGTTTGTGTCTGTCTTGGGTTGGTGTGGATGTAGGGACCTTCATGTCCCACATCATCTGCTGCTGCCATGTGGTCATAAACTGGTGTACCCTCCTTTGAAAGAGGTTCCAGGAGGTGTTGGTGC